ATTCTCCACCTCTAAAACAACCGTTCGTCCTCAAACGGACACGAGAAAGAAGTACCTGAGTCGGGAAAAAGATGGGGATAACGGCTCCGCCTATCAGACTCGGACTCCCAGGTCGATGCCTCAGGAGGCTGACCTCTCCACTGAACACGAACAGAAGGAAAACTCTTGGACCTCAACTGACGAACCTGCCGGTCTAGAATAGCTACCGGCTCCTCCTCATATGATAAGTCCTTGTCCAACTGGACAGTACTGAAGTCTAACACATGGGTAGGATCGTCGTGATACCTATGAAGCATAGATACATGGAAAACTTGATGCACGGCTGATAATCTAGGCGGAAGGTTAGTGATGTTTCCTATATGGTTGGAGAGCGGGTTCTGCTTCGGCTATCGCCTATGAAGGGCGTTATGATATTTGGGAAGAAAGGGAAGTTGAGTCCAAGGTTTATTGGCCCTTTTAAGATATTAAGGCGTGTTGGGGAGGTTGCTTATGAGCTTGCCTTACCTCCCAGCTTGGTAGGAGTTCATCCGGTACTTCAAGTTTCGATGCTCCGGCGGTACCACGATGATCTGTCGCACGTATTGGATTGCAGCTCAGTCCAGCTGGACAAGGATCTATCCTATATTGAGGAGCAAGTGGAAATATTGGACAGGCATGTTAGAAAGTTGAGGTCAAAGAACATTGCGTCAGTGAAGGTTCAGTGGCGGGGTCAGCCGGTCGAGGAGGCGACCTGGCAGACCGAGCAGGATATGGGCAGCCATTACCCTCATCTTTTCACTACTTCAGGTATGTCTCTATGCTCGTTCAAAGACGAACGAATGTTTAAGTGTAGGAGGATATGATGACCCAGCCTGTCTTCTTAAGAATTAACGCCCCGATCCCCTATTAACTGTTGTCCCCATTTTATTTCTACTATTTTGATTTGCCGGGATGTTCGGTTTTGAGTTTTGGAGAGTTTTGGGACACTTAGTCCCTAAATGAGAGCTTAAGTTTGGGAAATTTGACCGTAGTCGGAACAATGTGAAGACGGCCTCGGTATGGAATTCGGAGGGTTTCGTTAGATCCGTTGGGTGATTTTGGATTTAGGAGTGTAATCAGATTGTGTTTTGGAGGTCCATAGCTAAGTTATGCTTGAAATGCCGAAAGTTGAATTTTTGAAGTTTCCTGTTCGATAGTGAGACTATGATCCGAGGGTCGGAATGGAATTCCGGAAGTTGAAGTAGCTCCATAGTGTTGAATGTGACGCGTGTGTAAAATTTCAGGCCATTCAAACGAGGTTTAATAGACATTTTGATCGAAAAGCGTAATTTGTGAGTTTTTGAAGTTCTTAGGCTTGAATCCGATGTTAAATTGGTGTTTTGATGCCGTTTTGAGCGTTCCGAAGGTTGGAACAAGTTTGAATGATGTTTTAGGACTGGTTGGCATGTCTTGTTGAGGTTTCGGGGGCCTCAGGTGAGTTTCGGGTGGTTGCCAGAAGTTGAATTTGGACTTAGGGAGATTTTTGCATTGCTGAACCTGTCATAACCGCACCTACATGTGTGGGACCGCAGGTGCGGCGCCGTAGAAGCGGCTATTGGACCACAAAAGCGGAAATTTGGTCCAGCTCCAAGAGTCGAAGGTGCAAGAAGCGTAACGCACCTGCGAGACCGCAGGTGCGGAAGGTCTATCACAGAAGCGGAAAATGGATTTAAGTGAAATGTCGCAGATGCAACCATGTCCTCGCTGAAGCGGAACCGCATCGCTGAAGCGGATTAGCTGGGCAGAAACATATAAATTCTTGCCTTCGCGAATTTGAGCTATTTTCACCTTTTTACAAACAGGAAAAAGCCTTGGGAGCAGTTTCAAGAGAGATTTTCTGAGGAATTCATTGGGGTAAGGTCTTTGGTCCCTAAACTCGTTATTGAGGTGACTTTTATCATTATAAACATGAAAATTTAAGGAAAATTAGTGGTAATTTGGGGGTTAGGGCTTAACTAATTAGAGACCTTTGAGTGATGATTTGAGGGACCATTTGAGGTCCGATTTTTGTACTTTTGGTATGACTAAACTCGTGAGAGTGTGAGGATTCTGGAAATATGAATTTCTCCCAATTCTGAGATGTGGGCTCGAGGGGCATTTTGGTCATTTTACCTAATTTTGCGTTTTAGCTCAGAATTTCTTTGTAGAATCAGTGACTTGAAGTATTATTTACATTAAATTGAATTGAATAGATTTAGGCCATTTGGAGTCGAGTATTCGTGGCAAGAGCGTGGTTTCAGATTGATTTAAGTTGGTTCGAGGTAAGTGGCTTGCCTAACCTTGTGTGAGGGACCTTCCCCTTAGGATTTGGTATATTTGATAATTGAAATGCCTTGTACGTGAGGTGACGAGTGCGTACTTGAGCTAATTTTTAAAAATCCGATTTTCGTTAAGTAATTTTAATTGTGTTCCTTTTTCTTGTTTTATACTACTTACAAATTTAAGTCTGCTGTTAACCTAGAAAAAGCATGTTTAATTGACTTAATTGCTTACTTGCTAAAACTGCCCTAATTGTATTATGTGAAGCATGTTAGGTTAGAATTACCTGTTTTACTTGGTATGAAATTGAGCTTAGTTGAGTATTCTTTGTGTTGCTGTTGTGTGTTTTACTTTGGGACTACGGGATGGCATCACGGGAGATCCCCTGTATGCATTTATGATTTGAGCTGAGGTGCGGGATACCGAGAGATCCCTGGCACGTATATTGAGGATACCAAGAGATCCTCGGGATCCCTAGCACATATTGAGGACACCAAGAGATCCTCTGGATACCACGAGATCCCTGGCACATATTGAGGGTACTAAGAGATCCTCGAGATACTAAGAGATCCCCGGTTATTATCCTTGTGAAGACTGGTATTTCCTTGTGATTGTTTTATCTCTGTTCCAGTTATTGTATTCCTTATTATCCTGTATTAAATTCTTATTGTCACCTTTCAACTGTACTGCTTTTCTTATTCTGTCATCCCTTATATTGTTTAATCTCAGTAGGGCCCTGACCTTCCTCGTCACTTCCCCACCGAGGTTAGGCTTGGCACTTACTGAGTACCGATGTGGTGTACTCATGCCCTTTCTATGCATGTTTTTCATATGCAGATCCAGATACCTCCACGCAGACTTTCCATGCTTGAGTCGAGGCGTTCGTAGAGACTCCAAGGTATATCTGCCGCGTCCGCAGACCGAAGAGTCCCTTTTCTACTCTCCCTTTTGTATTAGCCCTTCCGTACTTATATCCTTGTTAGATATTCTGGAGTTAGACGTTGTAGACTTTCAAAGGCTTGTTATTATGAGATTCCGGGTTTTGGGAAAAATGTGTTTAGCTTTTGAGAGTTATTATTGTGTATGCCAAGCAGCACTTTAAATTTACTATTTTAATTTAATTTTTCGGTTTTAAATTGTTTCTTCTGCAAATTGGTTTACTTTTTTTGCATTGTTAGGCTTACCTAGTCGTAGAGACTAGGTGCCGTCACGATGGTTCACGGATGGCTAACCGGGGTCATGACAGCAAGACACAAAATATGTTGGGGAAAAGCAACATTTTCTGGAAAAAAAAAAGTAGTGTTCTTTTGTTATCTAATCTTCTAAATAAATAATATGACACTCTAAACCCGCCCGTTGTCGCGACCCAAAATCTAATTAGTCGTGATGACACCTAACCTCACCCGCTAGGTAAACCAATTTAATAATAATCCAATTTAAATGAGATTTACTGAGAGAAATAATGATAATAAAACTGGACTTATATACAAAGAGCTCCCAAGGACTGGTAGTACAAGTCATGAGCCACTAAGACTTAGATTTTTACAAAACTAAATTGAAATAATTACATCGTCTGTTTGAAAAGTAAACGAACTGAATCGAATGCAACAAGTGATAGCCATAAGTGGAATGCAGGTACATCTTCAATGTCAGCCCTCGCCGTACACGGCAACATCAACACAAGTATCTGTACGCAAGGTGCAGAAGTATAGTATGAGTACAATCGACCTCATGTACTCAATAAGAATCCTAACTAGCCTCGGCAAGGTAAAAGAAGAAAGAACTGTAGATGATACTCACTAACACCTGTGCAGTTCAGTATTTTCAACAAGTATAGAACATGTACATGATCAAATCAGGGACAATCTCATGTAAAACCATTTTTTATGCTCACAATTCTTAGCCTTAGAGTGTTCTGCTCAGCCAACAATCCAACATATAAGGAAGATAGACAAGTAAATCGGGTAATCAGTTAAGTGATTAGCAAGCAAAGATGAAAGATTTCCGACATCGGATCACTCCTCAATTCTTATTTTACATTTTGAATGGTTTTTACAAAATTTCTCATTTTCTTCCATTTAATTAAATAATTTAATGATATAAATAAGTATGAAATCATGAAATGTCACTAGCTTTACTAGAGCTCACATAAATATCAACCGCACGGATAACTCACGCGCTATAGTGCCAATATACAGATCCGCACGGACAACTCACATGTTCAAGGACAATTCACGTGTTATATTATCAATATCTGGATCCGCACGGATAACTCACGTGCTATAGTATCAATGTCTGGATCTGCACAGACAACTCACGTGCTGCACGGACAACTCACGTGCTATAGTATCAATCCGCCCGGTGTGGTCACAGGTATAACAGTCCAAATCATATCGCACGGAAGCAAGTATACAAGAACACATGTATATGATAGATAAAATATCAGATTTCATGCTCCTGGACTGGTATAATTACATGCTAAAAGTGTAGGCATGTGCAATGTATGCTATCGTAGCTCAAATCGACAATTTATCATAGAACTAGCAATTACCAAGTTTTATTCAGGGAGTTACCCTCTTCGTAACCTCAAACATATCTCAAATAGTTCACAGCAATTCAACAATTACCTAAATATGCACTCTCTCCCAAGTTATGCACACTAAATAGGCACATCTAATTGAGGATCCTATCAATTAACTACAACAAGAACGTAGTTGAACAAATAGAGATTAAACCAGGCAACTATATTAACATAACAAGAAGTTCATCCTTCAATAGATTCCATCAAAACCTTAGACTAAATATTTAGCTACTCATACTAGGATTCATCATAACAACATTCAAATTCATCACAAATCGTAAAAACAAAAGGAAAGGAAGAACTCGATGTTGAATTATCCTCCTTGCCTCTTGCCTCTCCTTGCCTTGAACTAAGCTATGAAAACCTTGATAATCCTCTCTTGGGCGAGCTAGACCTTCTATCGGTTAAGTGAATTTGCCCCCGAACTTCCAATTTTAACCCTGCAATTTACTCTTCCGGAACTGGGCTAGCGCGGTCGCGCTAATAGACGCGCTAGTGGCCGCGCTAGTCCAGGTCTTCATTTCATCTCTTCTTTTTCTCGCCTTCCCACATACTCGGCTCCTAGGGGCTTTTCTTGCTTCAATTTAGCTCCAATCACAACTTTAAGGCCTCATACATGCTACTCACTCCTGCAACGTGTGAAATTCACAATTAGAGCCAATTTATCATCATTTAACTATATTATCACAGTGAAACATAATCAAGCTGAGGCATAAACAATCGCCAAATTACATAAATCTAGCCTATTATCAGACACACTGTGCATTCAATGGGCTCCATTTATTCCAAAATTATTTTTTCAGGCATTATTTCGACATTCTGTTGCTGCTAACTTTCTGTTTTTGTTTTTTGTTTCAGAAAGTTTACTGTTTCGTTATTTATTATAGTGATACAATTTCAATAATAGCAATAAATGACATGTAAATAAGGAGAATGATTCAGCCAATAATGAACGAGATAGATGATTATTCTTCCTGACAATGATAAATGACAGACAAATCCTAGAATGTCAGAACTATTCTCGAATCTGATGGAAAAGTGTGGAATAATGTGTGCGAGAATATTGATGAAAAGGTAAGTGAATATTACGTGCCTTACACCATTGTCTCTTTTCCTCTTTATATGAGACATGTCCCTAACAAACCCTAATAGTACAAGTGCAGAGAATAGAATATTCTCTTTAACATCCTATTATAAAAACTAGCCGTTATTGTTCTATTCTTGGTGCTCGACCTCGGTCGTTGTTGACAGCCCGACCGCGAATCTCAATGCTTCCTGGTCGACCTTGACTGGCCCTTTCCGTAATGCCACTTTACGCTAAATTTCCTTAGGGCATATTTTGGCTTATACAACCATATATCAAAAGAAACCAAATTCCTAAACCATTGGAGTGTCTTGTGAAAGTAACACTAATATGAATACTGAAGCTACACATTATCAATCTGAAGTGTCAAAGATGTGAAAACAAAAAATGACATGACAGTGAATTACAGTAATAATAAGAATAAAGTATATGGGTAGAGCAAAGTCTCCTAGACAATTTGATTAAATGGTCGGCATCAATGGCCAATGGTTCACATTCGGATCATAAATGATGATATGGATAAAAACCATTAAAATGGAACAAGCATGTCATGAACCACAGCTAGTTCTCAGAGATCGGAGCTGTAGATTTTGTAGGAGGTGAAGAGCAATGGAGGAGAGGAGCAACATTAAAGAATTGCAAACATTTAGATTTTTTTTCCTTCAAATTGATGCTTGACTGGGGATAACGCAAGGGCAACTTTTGGGAACATAAGTTTTTGATGCCTCAATTTCTTCAACCATGATTAAAATTACTCACCTTCAGCAAATGGTCCTATGCCTTAAAAGATCCTCATATCAAATCCCTAAAAACCTTTTTTCCTCACTTTATGGAGAACCTAGCAGCCAATATTTTCTGCATTTGAAGAATGAATATTAAAAAGTGATGGAACTTCTGCAATTGCAAGTCTTAAAGGTAATGTTAATAGAGGTAAACTACTATTAAATTACTCAAGCTTCAGCAAATGTCCCTTATTTGCTACAGAATCCTCATCTCAATTCTCTAAGAACCAAATTTGCCTCGCTTGGAGAACCTAACAAGCCGTTATTTTTTGCATTTGAAGAATGAGTATTTAATAGTTGAAGATTTTTAACTGCACATCTGGAAGATAAGTAGCTTCAAGCGTTATAAAAATTGTGAACCACACAATGGATATTCCCTCTCAAAGTTAAATGCAAAGGTTAGAGGCATGATGGATCAGGATCAACCAGAACTTCAGAAACTGTCATAGTAAAAATTTAAACAGAGATGGTAGTATACCTCAGAGCTGTCTCTGTGGCATGTCGTACCTTCTGAATATTCTAGCCCATGATTTATATTTTCCCTGTTAGGCTATCCCAGTTTCTTAATATTGCTGCAGTGAACTTCGAGCAGACTGGTTTTGCACTTAACTCAAGGAATGCCTATTCAGTAACCTGCCATCAATAGCAATGACTGAGAGAAAATTAGCTGTCAAAAAGAATATAGTTCTAATAATATAGATATGTTGAGGCACTTAACAACATTAAGAATTTTAAATAGCTCATGATTGAGGAGAAGTGTAGGAATGGCATCGATACCATTTTTCCCTTAAGAAACATTTGGATGGTGGGAATGGGATCTTCGAACGAACAACATGAAGCCAGTTGTTCATAAAATATGATAGGTTGTGATAGTTAACAGGTCCATGTGAAAGAACATTCAGATTTTTCTTACCAAAATGAAAAGCACTAAATCAAGGCACAGAAACATTACCTGTGCACCAAAGAGGTGAGTACAGGCACGTTAATGATGGATCTATCTGCTGCTCGTAACATTAATATCTCTGAAGCTTCAAGCAGCAAGGATTGAATTACAGTGCCTCACATTTTATGATCATGTTTCTTATCTTTAGTGTAAGTGATGGAGTAATATCTTGAAAAATAAAATTTCTCCCTCACTTTTCCTTTCCCAAATTTTCAGCAAAGCAGGTAACCAACCACCAGAGCTCATATTAATTGTTAAATTAGAAACTGTTATACATGGTTACTACCTGTTTCAATTATGTCAACAAAATGCATCATCTACAAGAAAGTATGAGCATTCAATTTGAAATATGTATCCAGCATCCTTCATTGGATCTACGAGTTTAAGCAGCAACTCTTTTATTTCTTCTAACCGACTGTGGGACTTGTCTTTAGCGATAAATTTATGTCTGATATTGTTTATCTCAATCCAACTATAAGCTGTTTCTTTCACCAATCCTCTGTCATAGATGTACCTTCGCAGAGTGCGGGCATCACCCCACCTTCCTGCTGCTGCATAGATGTTGGATAACATAATATACCTGGCAGCATTATCAGGTTCCAGCTCAAATAGATCTTCTGCCACCCTTCTAGCAAGTTTCAAGTTCCCATGTACCCTGCAAGCACCCAAAAGTGCGCCCCACATTCCAATATTGTCTCTTCCCCAAGGAGCTCTCTTGATCAAATCCGCAGCTTCTCCAAGCATATTCTTCCGTCCAAGTAAATCAATCAAGATGGCATAGTGATCCAACTGGGGTACTATACCGTATTTCCTCTCCATTGAATGGAGATATTGAAATCCTTCAGGTAATAAACCACAGTGGCTACAGGCAGATAAAACCCCAAGAAAAGTTACATGGTTTGGTGTTGTATCTGTTTCAATCATTTTCTCAAACATGAACAAAGACATCACTCCATTCCCATTTTGAGCAAATCCATTTATTATCGAGTTCCAAGTAACTCGATCCTTCCCATCTAACCTCTCAAACAATCTCATAGCAGATATCATGTCTCCACATTTAGAATACATGTCAACCAAAGCATTAACTACAAAAATATTATGCAAATCAATTAAACATGTACATCTAAAAATGTGTCCATGAACTTGCTTACCTTTTTCAATAAGAGGTATGTCTGCACAAGAACTTAGGACACCAACGTAAGTGGATGCACGCGGTACAATACCTTCTTCCAGCATTTCCTTGAAAGTACACAAAGCCTTATCTCCTTCTCCATTTTGCGCAAACCCTGTGATCAGAGCAGTCCAAGCCACCACATTTCTGATCGGCATATGATCAAAAAGTGAGCACGCATCTGCCATTCTAGACGCACGTATATAAGCAACCAACAGCGAAGTCCACGAGAATACATCAGTCTCGCGCATTTGACAGAAAATAGAATAAGAGTACCCGGGTTTGACACATTTCCCATAAGCATCAATAAGTGCATTGCAAACCACAAGATTAAACATCACACCAATCACAGTTGCTAACCCATGCAATTCACGCAACAAGTTCAATGCACCCAAACCTGCACAAGTATTTACCACGCTAACAACCGTGAACTCGTCAATCAAAAACCCATTCCCACGTTGAGTTTGCATTCTTTTGAAAAAACCCATAGCTTTTCTAGGGAACCCGTGATGAGTTAAGCTTGAAATGATTGAGTTATAGCTCACAGCATTTGGATCAGGCATTACATCGAGCAGCTGGAAGGTTTTCTCAAAAAGACCCTTTTGAGAGTAAGCTGACAGCATTGTGTTCCAAGATTGGGCGTTCTTGTCTGACAGTTCATTAAAGGCCTGTTGCGCATACTCTATGGAACAGCATTTAGAGTACATGTATATCAGACGGTTGGCGAGGAATGTGTTAAAGGTTAATGCCGTCTTGATCAGACGGGAGTGTATGAGTCTCCCAAGCTTGAGATCATTAGTTCGGATGCAGTTTGAAAGGAGGCGCGCGAAGTGATGCACAGGCTCAGCAGATATTGCTTCACTTGGTTGCATGAGAGCAGATTATTTCTATAATTAACAAAAATATTCAGGATTAGCAAGGGAAGAATATGTCGCAGAATGCATGAAATAATCGTATATTTGAAATCTTATGGATTTTCACATTGGTTGCGATTTGCGAATTTAAAATTTTCGTGACAGATATTTTTGTCGACTTCTCATGATTTATTTAGTAATAGTTCCAAAATTGCGATAGGGAATTGTAGCTAATATAGAAAACATGTACATTTAATTCTTGTTGAAACAGTATTAGGGAGTACTAATTTCTTTATATGGAAAACGGCTTAAAGTACCCCTATCGTATGCTAAATGGTTTATAAAAATCCCGTCCATCTATTCGTCTGAAAATATATATGACGTTAATTCTATTGTCAAAATTACACCGCGACTAATGGCACTTCATGTGGGCCTCTCATTAAATGATGTGTCATTCTTTCATTTGTCCACGTAGCTCAGTGGGGATGAAATTATGAGCCTGTTTGGATGGGCTTAAAAGCTGGTCAAACCAGCTTTTAAGTTATTTTTTAGCTTATTGAGGTGTTTGGCAAACTTAAAATCAGCTTAAAGGTCAAATGCTTTTAAGTCAAAAGGTCCAAATTAAGCCAAAAGTGATAAGTTGGGTAATCCCAACTTTTTTTTTCTAGCTTAAAAGCCACCCCTCTTTGCAATTCCTATACATAGCGTTTCCTATGCATTACTTCTCAATTTTATTTGCAATTAAAAATCCATAGGCAATTTTTCTAGCTTAAAAGCCACCCCTCTTTGATCAAGAGAGCTCCTTGGGGAAGAGACAATATTGGAATGTGGGGCGCACTTTTGGGTGCTTGCAGGGTACATGGGAACTTGAAACTTGCTAGAAGGGTGGCAGAAGGTCTATTTGAGCTGGAACCTGATAATGCTGCCAGGTATATTATGTTATCCAACATCAATGCAGCAGCAGGAAGGTGGGGTGATGCCCGCACTCTGCGAAGGTACATCTATGACAGAGGATTTACCTATCATTATGGCGAAGGTAGGGTGATGCCCGCGTTATGGCGGTCCCTCATTTCCTATTTAATGACTATCCTGTCATTTTTTTCTCTCTCAAAATTGTTCTACTTCTTGCACCAACTCCTACTTACTACAGTAATAACAGAAAATTTTAACTATCACTTTAATCTTGTGCCCAGTTAAACCAGGACATTTCAAAAAGTTTAACGATTATGAAACTATCATTATTATTTTAATTTTTGGTTTAAAATGTTAGGTTGCTTTAAAAGAAAAAGCCCAATCTTTGGGGCTTGGGCCGCAATATGGGAGATGGCCGGAGGAGACTGGCTTGGGCTTTGGGGCATTTGCATCTATACCCGCTTTTTGGGTCATGTTTTAACTTGTGCCCGCTTTGTAAAAAAAATTGCAAACGTACGCACTTTTTCGCGTAACTTCAGCATACGGGGCTGAAGTAGCAAAGGCAATCACGCAAAACTTCAGCATTCTAGTAGACGGGCCTGAAGTAGCAAGTGTTCTGAAGTTTTTGTTTGTAATTGCTAAACTTAAGCATAGTAGCTGAAATTTTGTTCTCTATTTGCTGAATTTTTTTTTTTGTAATTGCTTAACTTAATCATAGTAGATGAAGTTTTGTTCTCTATTTGCTGAAGTTTTTGTTTGTAATTGCACTAAATAAGCTGAAATTTTTTTATCCTGGATTCATTAGTTTTGCCATTAAACTTTTTCAAAAACTTCAACAGAAGATGCTGAAGTTATTTAGTTCATTTATAAAAACTTCAACACTAAATAAGCTAAAGTTTTTTTGTCCTGGATAAGCTTTTTCAAAAACTTCAGTAGAAGATGCTGAAGTTATTTAGTTCATTTGTAAAAACTTCAGCACTAAATAAGCTGAAGTTTTTTTGTCCTGGATTCATTATTTTTGTCATAAAGCTTTTTCAAAAACTAGCATATAAATATTTTTATATTTTCATAGTTATGTTTGAGAGAATCAAAACTGGCTTTAAGAACATTGTAATCTTTCTCCAATTGCTTTGTCTTCCACCGTGCACGGCGGTTCTTGAACCAAATAGCAATTTGTCTTCTGTTTAAGGAATTACATTATATTACAGTTATCATATAAATATTTTTATATTTTTAGTGTAATATCTGTCACACCTCCTTTTTCACCTACACTCTAGAAGGGTGTATATAAGGGAGTTTTTTCCAACTTAAAGTGACAATCGAAAAGGGATTATTTATTTATTAAATTTAGAGTCGCCACTTGGGATAATTTTATGGTGTCCCAAAGTCACCGGTTCAAATCCCGAATCGAGGAAAAGATTGGCTCTGTATTACAGTCTGCGAACAGAGAAATCCGAGTAAGGAATTCTGTTAACCCGAGAGAAGGTGTTAGGCATTCCCGAGTTTCGTGGTTCTAGCACGGTCACTCAATGGCTATAATTGGCATAATTATCTAATTTTAAAACATTTTGAACTTATGTGCATTTTAACTTTAAAACCGCTTTTATTTATTTTAAGGAAGATTTTAACGTCGTCTACAACATGTCTTTGGACCGCGTCACATGAAATACACCCGCAATCCGAAACACATTTTATTCAACGTTATTGAGATTTGGAATTGGGTCACATGAAATGCGCACTCGAGTTTAGGAAGGTAATATTATTAAAATAACACGCCTAAAGCAACTACACACTTTCAACTTTGCGAGGGTCCTGGAAAATTTGCTAAATGGCGCGCCTCGGTTTTTAAGGATAAAATTCCAATTAAGTGAGGGCCATAGGTTTTGAGATTTTATTTGGCATGGCATGGCACGCCTCAAATTATTAAAAAGGATTTTATTATTCGAAGTTGCTATAATCGGGTTACATGAAATGCACCCCCGAATTTTGGAATTAGGCATCCTAACTATGTCACGGGAACCGTACCCATAGTCACAATGGTTTATTAATCACGCCTAAAGCAACTAGAGCATTTGAATTATTTTCCTAAACTTTGAGATTATTGTAAGGGTCATGATTTGTGGAAGTAGAGTTGTGGAGAAAGGATAGGTTTTTTCACTAGATTCGGCCAAGCCTGTCATTTACGAACTTTGGCCCAATTGTCCCTAAAGTTGAAGCATCTTTTTAACACTCAAATTCACGACCATCCTTATCCAGAGAATTCAATAGTTAATCTCCAAAGATATTACTATTTAATAGAGAACAATCACCAATGAACTAATTTGTCTACTCAACTTAACTTCATCAATCAGTTAAAATAATACATAAAGAAAACTCAAATAACCACCATTCAAACAAAAAAAATCGTTATCCAAGCGGAGTAAGGAAAACTCGACACACTACGACTAACAGGAAACAGTGTTCAAACATTTTCATTCAAGCATTAGACAAGGAGCTATTTTGCACTTATACAGGTGGATTACAAAAAAAAAAAAAAAAAAAAAAACTTATAGCATTTTATTACAATCAACACCAAGCCTGCACCCAATTGAATTTGCAAGGACATTCACATGAATTCATTTTTACAACTCTAAGAATATCCTGGCTACTTCTTAATTACATATCCAGCCTTTCCTTTTCAATTGTATGACATGCAAAACACGATACCACAAAATCTATAATGAAAGGACAACAACATGCTTTCAAGGAATTTCCAAACATATTGAGAAAGTAGATCTAGCCAGCTATAAATCAGATTTGCAGACTCTTCATATTAAGCATGCTATTGACATAAATTTATCAGTCATAACACACAGAGGAATAAACATGGCAACATTTGCATACAGAGATTCCAACATCAGACCTTAATTATAGAGTATTCGTGTAGGGTCAGAATGTACCCGATAGCGAAAAGAACAATTGATTTGACCAAATAAAGATCTTGAATCCAAATGATGGTGTTCAGCAAAAGATTTCCAGGCAGAGCAGTAGCAGAATCCCAAATCGAACCAGCTTCGAAAACAAAAACTGAGAAAATTGGAGTAGTAGGAATAAGATAGTTCTAGCCCGGTTACGCCTTAGAAGTTTCAGAAAATGTAGTGCAAAACAAGCAAAAATTGAGGCGGCTATCTAGATCCCTTTCATTCCTCTTGTTCGAAGCTTTTTGTGTGTGTTAGATCTCTGTCTTTCTAGTTTCTTAAATTTCGGGATTTTTACTTCAACTCAGGGAAGGCATGAGAATGAGGTTCAGATTGTAAGGTGAGTGTGAATAGGCTTGAATCTAGGAGGGTGAGTGAACGAGAGGAGTAGAGTGTATGGTGGGAGGGGGGTCGGCCTTCTCTGGTTTTCGCTGAAGATAGAGAGCGCCGTTGTTGATGTAAGGGTCTTAGGGGTCTAATAATCTGATCTCCCCTTTTCTAATTTTTCTTTTCTTTTAATTAAAATCCTACAACTTAAATCCTGTTATAAATAGAATTTTATTTATGGTGAATGTTTATATTTAGAGAGATTCTAGGTTTTATTACTTGGTGGCTAAGTCACTCTCTGCCTATAAATAAATCTATTCCATTGTAATCATCCCAAATTCAATAAGAATTCTCTCCCTCTACTTTTCTCTGCACTACTCTTCTTCTTCTTTTATTATTTTATAACACGTTATCAGCACGAGACTCTAACCAATTGAGTAGAAACTTTGGGATTGAGCATAATGATTGTCAATTATTCCATAAACTTCCTTCATGATTAAATTCTGGATTTAAGGTAAGTATTTTACTTTATTTTTCTCTTTTAAATTCTTGAAATTCTATAATTTGATTTTATATACAAGCAAAGACAACAAAGTTTGATTATAACTCTAATGGAGTTTGTAAGAAATTATAACCACCTGAAGTGGTAAAATTTCTATGCCTCGCCATGATCAAATTCATGTATGATTGTGGGCAAAGAATTGAAAACCCGTCCCATTGAATTTGCTCCATTCTCATTCCCTTAAGAGAATGTGATAGCAGTATGTGATAAGTCTGAAAGAAGACAACATTATTACTATGAATGTATCAATGGATATGGACGTGGCAATAGACGAAATTATAATCGTCATCATTTGTGGTAATGAGAACAATAAGGATTCTCAAAATAATCTTTCACTCTGTGAAAAATATTTGTCATCGATTTGACATGAGATTTTGTAAAGCACATATAGATGATTATGGTCCATTCATGATGTGAATGTGACAACATCTGATTTATGAATACATATTCATTCTTCAAAGAATATGAACGTGCTAGTGGTAGTGAATATACCGCACTCACCTCTAAAAGGAGGTTTGAGATGATATAAGAAAATAATGTCATTATTATGGCATGAATGGTCATTGGTCACGTACCTATTGTTCGCCAAAATATTTTGGCATTGTAATTGTTAAAAGACAACGGTAATGCAAGAAACAGATCTTGCATATAATTTTGACCATAACCATAATGGTATAACTTTCTCTTTAAAAGAGAAATTCACCATATGGGTGTTGAAGAATATGTGGTACTAAAAAATTAATTGAGAACTCTGCAAGAGCCTGTCACGACCCGGATTTCCCACCATCGTGAGTCGTGATGGCGCCTACTGTAGGAGCTAGGCAAGCCAAACATTTAAACATTTTCGGATAACCACATAACAATAATAAAATAACGAGTCTTTAAATAAATGCGGAAGTCTTTTAAAACATAAATAACTGAAAACCCAAAATGCGGAAGTCTAATATTTCACTACCCAAGACTAGAGTCGCTGTCTCACGAACCACTAAAGAGTGCTACAAACAAGTCCGAATAGAAAAATACATAATGTCTGTCTCGGTACAATGAAAACAAACAGAAAATATGGAAAGGGACTTCGGCCTGCGAATGCCAGCTAGGCTACCTCGTAAGTCCCTGGACTGAAGGGGGCTCCCGATCGACTACTACTGTGGTCCAAGAGCTGCTCCGGTACCGTAATTTGTGCAAAAAGCACAGAAGTGTAGCATCAGCACAACCGACCCCATGTGCTGGCAAGTGCCTGGCCTAACCCCGGCGAAGTAGTGACGAGGCTAGACAGGACTACCAAGTCAACCTGTGCAGTTCAATATATATATATATATGCAATAAAGGAAAGAATACCGAAATTAAACAGTTAACTAGGGAGGGAAGCATACTATGGGGAGTACAAACAGGATATAAAGTCATTAACTTAAGTAAGAAACAGGGCAATAACAATAATTAACAAAAACAGGAGAATCAACAGTTGCACGGCATCAACCTTCGTGCTTTTACTCTCATTCTCACCAAAAAAACAATCAAATAGAATGCACGGCATCACCCTTCGTGCTTTTCCTCACATAACTCTCATTTCATGACACGGAATGATCCTTCATGCAATTATAGTCAAAATCAGAGCACGGAATGTCCCTTCGTGCATAAATAATCAAAACATGGCACGGAATGACCCTTCGTGCAAATATAATCAAAACATGGCACGGAATGACCCTTCGTGCAAATATAATCAA